ATGACTCGTTGATTGCTGCATCGCTCTTGTATCCTGGCAGGGTCGCCAATTATAACATACCGACAAGGGAGAACTTCAAGGATTGATCCGTAAAGTCTATTACGTAACACGTAGGCTAGTCAACTGTTCTCTTCAAGTTCTTGTCCTTTCAGTAATTGCGCAGGAATGTCATTCTGAAAGGCAGACGGATAAAAGGTGACGTCAAAGCCACCATCCAAATTCAACTACGCGCCAAACTAGTTTCGATCACTGGTTACACTCATGCTACTGGCGAATGATAATACTTCTTCGAGAAATATCCGTTTGAGTCCGGTGCAGCGTCTATACAGCTGAAGGACTAGAACGCTGATGCCGGCATCTGCCACACTTTTGCGCTCAGTTTCGTCACAGCACGAATGATTACAGAACAATCTGAGACGATGAATGACCACTGAGAAGCGGTATTATGAGCACGGTGCACGGGTACTACGTGAGCTATCAGTGGGGGAGGAAGTATGCGTCCATCCATTACCCGAACATCAAGGGCTGTGGGAGAAAGGTGTGGTAACTGCGACGGTCGGTGCCAGGGCGTACGAAATAAACGTTAGAGAAAAAACGCTCAGCAGAAATCGAGCGCTTTGGAGACGACAACCGAGACAAAAATGTGGACTGGGAGTGGAGTGGTAGATGGTATGGGGCAAAGAGACCACGGCTGCAGATACAAAGATGACGACGTGGAGTGGCAAGGTGTACGAAGTGGATAGCTATATGGAGGCGCGAGAACACGAAAATGGGGAGGATGTGATGGTAGTATCAGATCGGAGTGAGCAGATGGACCAACCGAACGAGCCAAATAGCCATTGGGGTGCAGATGTGACGGATTCGATTTCTGAACTCGGATTGGCCGATACTCGTGTGAGTGATTCACCGTTTGTTTAATTGAAGCAAAGGAGGAATCTCATCGATGCACAAGGGTTGTTAGTTATGGACTTGAATCAGCAATTTATATCGAGGAGTTTGGCTTGCTAAAAACGCTGTAATTTTAATTTAGCTATCTTTGCCGAATAAACGTTTGTCCCTGATGGACTTAGTTCTACAACAGTTGATACCCATCCTCCATATTTCCGTTGGTCTGTTGCGTAGGTTCGGCAAGCTTACAATAGTAATGAGCATACGACAAGACGGTAGACCTGTATTTTCGCGCCGGCTGTGTAGATTGCATGGACCAACAAAACCACCTTGAGCTTTCGGTATGGTGCTATTCACTTCCGTTTCCAGTAACTTTGCCATATTCCTATTTGGGGATATTACTCACGATAAGCATATCTGACATCTGCGCTATCTATTAAACCCCGAGCTAACAACTATATTTCAAACTTACTGTGTCTCCCTATTCGATGTCCGCTGTCATAATTGCTCGCTCCTACATTGTACAACTTACTTCAGGGGTCAAACACACTTGACTACATTACATCTTTCCCGTGTCTGAAACACATACACCAGTTGTTCCCTTCAACCCACATTTGCCTCGAATGCACATTTTTTGCAATCAACGTTTAAAGCTGCCCTAAGAACACAACGCATTTTATCCTTATATGCACGGTACAGAATACTAATTAACTAGTCGTGCGACTCAATAAATAGCCCGGAGATTCCGCTCGCGGACTCTGGGTGGGTGATCTTGCTGTATGGTGGAAAGTACGGGGATTCGCATTTCTTTTGTGCCTTGTAAAGACTTGGTTGTTTCTGCACCGAACGGCTGTGGTTGTAGTAGGTCCCAATTGCATGTTGATATGTAGTTTGATGGTTGCGTAACTAACTTTCGGCCCTGTCTTCGTTTGATCGGAGATTTTTAACAGTTGCTCAAACCCCAGACGAATCTGTCGCCTACAAGTTACTTTTAGATTCCACCGGCCTTGACATAATTACACTGGCAATTTACTTTCTAAGTGTCCCAGGCCGATCCCTTCCAAAAATCATCACAAGCATTAGTCTTTGCTAATCCTACATGAAAACTTTTCATTTTAAAGCGATAAAAGCAAGTCGAGACTGTTTACAGATATTGCATTTTAGTCCAGTGTTGTTTGGCAACTTGTCAGATGTAACAGATCAGAGCGAAATAGTAGGCGTGATTCAACTTGGAATGCCGACCACCTGGAAGCAATTGCATAATCCAGTGAACGAATTTTCCTTAACTAACTCAAGAGAAAAGTTAAGAAAAATGAGGTGGTAATGTGCATCCTCGTGCCATGCCGCAGAAGTTATGCAAGGGCAGTGAAAAATTGCCAGAGGCCTACACTCTCCGAACTGTGCGCATAATTTACCATTACAATATTTATGTATTTTTCGGGCACACATTTCCTATGTAAACACTCACAAAGGGCGAATCGATCCACTTAATCGAAGGCCCCTTTGATGTCGCGGAACTCGCTACGGAGGTCAGCCAATAGAAATGGTGGTGCTTCAACCCTTGAAGTACAGTAAAAATATGGTCCATACAATGTTGTCCTAGAGAAAACCCGGCTTGATCTTCGCAAATCAGGCATTAAATGGTAGCAGCCAATTGTGAATAAGAGCAAAGGCAGACATCTAATAAGTGATGTATATTAAAATTATAAGTTTCTGATTGCCGTACTCGAGACGCAAACCCCTCAAAAGCCAGGACTGCAACAGAGCAGCCCCAGTAGACTGACACGGTTTTCATTTTCCACAGCTTCACTGATAAATAACACCAAAAATTCTCTACTACTCATCGGCAATCCAATATCCGTCTGTATAGATTCCAAGTGCTGTGTCACACACAGTTGCTATTTGGAAATTCGTAACTCTGGGGCCATTCGCCGTGTTCTACACAGTTGATCACTGGCATGGCAGTGAAAGACGAGCCGTGCTATATCACAGCCAAGTGCTAGTTATGCAGGTCCGCCGCCGTCACTCATGGCTAAGTGGCACATGCTGCTGACATCAGGAAGTCATGGGTTGGAATCCGGCAAAAGAGCTAGGAATGGGCTCAACTGACGAGACCCAAAATGTCGAACAAGCTGTCTGGTGCTGTTCCAGACGTGTGTGAACCTGCATGACTGACATGGGAATGCGACGAACTAGATCTAAAATTGCACCAAAAATCCCCACAACAGCAGTCCGCCATAGTCTGAAGAGGACGAGAAAATTACATCTAGTCCAGCAAAGCTATCTAGTTTTCACCTCCAACTCCTGCTCGACGTCTAAGCGGGAAGGCAAATCCAGTTGGATGGCTCAGGAAGCAATCACTGGTGGGTAACGCAATTTGTAGGTTAGGCCCTTTGCTATTAAGGTTGTTTTCATTAAATATACAGCCTGACACAATTTGACAAACCTTTAATAATTCGAAAGGGATTGATTTATCAGTCACACATACAGAGCCAACAAGATAGTGAACTGCAAAACATTGTGATCAGGCAGGTAGCCGACTTTCTCGATTGATGTGCGCAATTTGAATAGTTCTGCGGTTTCCTTAGGTCAAAGTAATTTCACCTCATTCTTTTCGCAGTAACAGTTTCAATATACCGAGTGAACCAACTAGTACCGTTTGAAAACAGCTTTGATGGGTCAAGAAGCCACCTGTTTCATATGATTGAACAAAGCCCCCTTTCCCAACACTGTACTCCAACACCGCTTTCATATTTCTATACAATCATCGGTCAGATATAGCGAGATTACAGTCTGAACCCTGGATCTGTTAGATGTCAGCTGAAACCACTACTCCTAACCTACCGATTGGCTTCATCTGTTTCAGTTGAAGTCTCAGTGACCACATTAACTTGTAACGCTGCCCGAGTGAGACTGTGCGAGTGCTTCAAAAATATCTGCCCCAATTAAATCCATCTTCCATTCTATTCAGATCACGCTTTTACAGCCGAAATACTTGGTCACTTGTAGTTGCCCCATAAGGATCTATCGCATTCCACTGATGGGAGACTGAGATTGTAAGCATTTGCTAGTTGACCCACCCCCCATAATATTTAGATTAGCCGTACTGTCCTATGTGTTACAACACTTTAAACTACCCTCAGGGAAATCACTTTATCATACATGAGCTGGACGTAGATAACTTCGATTTTTTAATGCTACTGCAAGACCCTTCTGCTCTCTATTTGCACTTGTGCGTACATGCAACAAACAGGGAAAAATATTGATCTCACCTTTAAACTTTGGGTTTCTGCTATTAAAACGGGTTTATTAGGCTCTACACACGATTTTAATACAGTAAGATGTGGTGCAGCAGATTTCAAACATAGATTTAGATGTCGGAGTTCTCTCACATTCTAGCATCTCCACCTGATGGAGCTATTCTGTGGTAAAACCTAAGATTGGGTGGTTGTGAGCGGCTAGACTGAGAATTCGATATACTTTCGTAGTTGCGACTTATGGACGTAAAATAACACAGTTGCGATATGGCTAATTCTGTCACCGACTGCAACATCAGCTAACAATTTGCATACTTTGAACTCCACCTCAGTCAATTCAGATAGTAAGCGGGTGCCTAACCTGTTGCCTGTTGAACTGAGAAATATTTATATTCCCTTAAAATTACTATATAAATCCGTTACAGCAAGGTGCTAGCAAGAATCCTGGTTATTTCTATCGCCGTTTTGTTCTACTTTATGACAACATAGACTTTACCACAAATGCTTGTAATTAGATTAGCACACAAAAATGTGCAGAACATCTGATTATCCTAGATTATGTTGTACAACTACTAATGAACAAAAGGCATGTATTTCAGTGACGTGTTTTCGTTCAGCGACATGTAGCTCTGTTGCATATATTGTACAATAAAACATCGGAACTTGACCACCTCTCTGTATTGGCCACTTTGGTCCACTCCTTTGAGTGGTCAGTTTACGGAAGTTTCATTGCATCAAACACAATGATAAGAAACAAAACACACCATCTGGGAACCACATTCAAAAGTATGACAGAAAGCACAGATCAGAAAAATGCCTCACACTGGCGTCATGTTTAATTTCTTATCCATCTAGAATATTGCATAACGCCGCGGTGTGGAATTTCTTATGGAGAACTGTCAGTAAAATGCCCACCGTGGTCAGTCGGCTACTTGAGGAATACAAAGAAGCAGAATCAGGTGAGTACCCATTCTGTTAATAGGATGCTTCCTGTAGGTAACCTTATCTCTGAGACTCAGGTAGACACCGAGTGTTCTTGAGCGGTTGCAGAAAATAACCACGTATCCGTCGGCAACTTCAGAAATAGCATCAAAATTGCGCGCGCTGCATGATGGCACACTAGTCGATTCTGTTGAAATAAGTAACTATATTAAGGACCATTTGCTCAATGAAATAGTCGGATAAACCTCAGCATGGACAATTTCACGTCATCAATGCGGCTGATGATTGATACATGACACACGCTGGCTGGATGACAACACAGATCAGGAGGTGACGTGATCCTAACTTTCGGAGAAGTTTGCACTGCAAAGGTCGTTGAAATATGGTTAGTAGCCATCGAAATGGAGTTCACTGGTGCTTTTGATGCTGTGTAGTGGATGAGACCGCAATGAACCTGGGGCGATGGTTGACAACAAGCTCACCAAAGTACCATTGACGCCACCGCTTCGGGGGCCCACGGAGCTTATCAGTTCTACCGATATTGCAGGAGCTCAAAGTTTTCAAAAGGGGAACACTCAAGCAGTAGCCCACCCATGCAAAAATGTGTTTAAATCCTCACTGCAAGCAGCTGGTCCGAATGTTTCTCTTACAGTTAACGCACATCACTGTTACAGTGCAACTATGAACGAGATGCCGATAAAAATAAACGCGATAAATTTGGCACACGATGTTATCATGTGGATTTTCACTTGAGCGTAAGGTGCCATCCTCTGTCTGCAGAAGAGTTCAATTGCTGGCATTTTTGATCGAAATGCCTGGCTATACAGCAGAGCAATGGCGCGTGGGTGGAGCAGCCGGTAAGCTTACTCCATCTGAGTGCTTAGACACGACGAGGCATTTTGTCACATGTAGACTTGAGCATTGTGAGTACGGTCAACGATAAATAAGCAGTTATCCTGTGGACTTGGCAAAATATAAGACAGCGACTAGGGCTTTAAGAATACTGCTAGCTAGGCTAATTATTTAGAGGGGAATATTTATCGAATAGATTCAGCCAGAACTTCACTGGCACTAAGGAACGCACTCCACGGTCTTTACATTCCCTTTGAGACTTCCATTAGTGACCAGGTTTTACGGCCTGGAACGCGACTTAGTTTTCGCACCAGCGATTGTCATCTCTTAATTCAGACGAATTTCGTTACAAATATCTAACAAACCCACTCCAGCTTCGGAGGCGACACACTGAATGAACCTCTTACTAGCTGAATCCATCCTCTGTGGAAGGTGTGGACACCACGGCCAGGGAGATCTAATGTTAAGATTAGCGCAACACCTTGTTGGTTTCAGAAATGGTAGCCTCGCTGCATAACCTGCATAAAGTCGCCCATCCATTAGACGAACAAACGTGGTACCAAATTTATAACCACATCTAACCAAGCCGGTAAATTAAGTGAAAGACAGTCCAACAAACCATCAAAGGTACTTAGATTGAGGAAGCATGTGTTTGAATTGTGATGAAGTTCGAAGATTTGCCAATGCAAGATAGACTCCGGTGCTAGCTAGCAAAGAGAATATTTTAGACGCAGGCGCGCAAGGCCATACTTATTGACCCGATCATTCTGAAGTACTTATTATATGAATGGATTATGACTAGCAACGAAGTGAATCTTGGTCCAAATCATCACTGAGACCTTAATTGATGAAACAGATGGATAATGCGTGTAGCGCTCCCGGAAACCTTGAGCTCCTGTGACGCGTTCTGATCTCACTTGATCTCATCAGGTGAAGATAGCACGTACCGAATTCAGGATCATTGCGATCTCAGTTTTGACCGCTAGCACTAAGCCGCTGGGCCACTGAAGTGAAGCACGGTCGTTCGATTACGAGGAATGTAGCTGAGGCGGATAGAAATTGAGTGTTGCCTGCCCGAAAACACTGTGCATCACGAGACTTTTCGATCGCATTAGGTCGAACTAAAAGGCATTGTAATACCGAATCATAGGGATTTCTATCTAAACCCCTGCCCCTAAGCCAACAAGCTAGGGTGGGCAACGCTTGCCGAAGGCGTTGTGGGAATGAAGTTTGGCCCGCGATTTCCATTAAAGTGAGTCTTGGTTACTTTGATCACTGGTCTGAGTGCATGCAGTCTCTGCTTGATGACCTCAAGTCGGTTCGAATCCGGTTGTGGAGTACATTGTTTTCAGGCAGGCAACTCGCAAAGTCCATCTGTAACAGCTGTAGTTAACTGTTGATAATCATGCCGCCTCTAAGAAAGACTTGACAGCAAAAGCTTGTAAATGGCCTATGGCTTTAGATGCGGACAACCATACAAATGAAACCCTTTTACCTCCGGTTCTTTGCGTGTCCAACTCCAGTGAGTATTCTTCAATCAAAATCAGAACTCTTGTTAACCGCACTGAGTTTTCAGTGAGATGAGACGAATACGGTACTTCCCAAGGAACGGTATGCATGACAACATTATGTGTCATTCCATTACGTGTTCATTATCTCGTCCACAGAGTGCAGCCAACACAAACGATATGAGCAGGATCAGACCATCATTTGTGGTCAACGCAGCGAGCGGATGCGTGGCTGTCAACATACGCTTCTATGATACATCATTATGACCACAATGAGCTGCGAGATAACCTGCTGGTGGTTTACGCGATCGACGACAGGCCTCTCAACATAGTGTAGCCCGGACTAACGTTAGGATGACTAGTCCACTAGTTTGATTTCAGTGCGGATATCGATCTACCTTAAAGGAATAAGTTTGGAAAAATGCAGCACATATGTATTACCTACTTAGTAGCGCTTGTGACTCAACAGACCTGAGTTTCCGTACTGTCACTCCCAAGTTACGGTCAGTTTAACTATCTAACTTTATCCAGACCCTATGTGACGGACTTTACTTGTTAGCTGGAGCAAGGCTTGCAATATCAAATGTTGACCGTTACATTCGTCAAGCTACTAGTTCAAAGTCTTGCTCTTATCCTTCCTGCTATGGATTTATCCAATGTTAAATTAATAGGCACGTTTCGGAATATGAGACTACTTTTCTCTGTAAGCAGTAGTTTGTGCGGGAAATTAACCTGACCGTTTTCGTAGGTCTGCTATATCATAAGACGCACTGAACTATTCATTTCAGCCTTTAGAAGGATCCGAATGAATAAGCTTAATTCCGGAATGTGCTAATCTGTCACCTATGCATATTGGTTAGAAAGCCGGTGGTGTATACAACAAACTTACGCCTTATTCAAATGATGTAATCTGAAATCATCAGGATTGTCTCAACCAAACATCTACCTACATAAAAATAAAATTGTACCGCCGTTTCGAATCGAACACCCGCTGTAAACGACAGACTGCACACACTGTTTATAATTACAAGTGCTAATTAAAGCTCGACGTAAGATATCCTTGCTAGGGCAATCAATAATATTATATCAGTGTGTAGCTAGTCGCGCGTTATAGTACTTAGGCACTCAGTCACGTTGGTAGCCTGCTTTCGCTACAGACGGAGACCCAGTCATCCATTCACAAGAGTCGGTTGGTGGTTACAAGTGCTACTATAGTTCAAAAAGTTCAACAGTAATGACTAGTTTCGAAGATTTCAGCATCCACACGGTGCATTTTCATGAGTTCAGGAATGAAACCGATGAATTTTGTAATCTACAGATTAATGCGGGGGAAGGTATTATCAGTCTGCCAGATGTGCTATGCCAATACAAATACTGTAGGAAATTGCAACGGAAGAAACAGCATGAGACTCGACTTCCTGGTCTAGTGTAAACAGAACTATATACTGTTATCTGCAGTTGAATAGATAAGTTTGTAGAGTCATTTGGTACAGTCGTTGTGCAAACCGATTGCGAACAACATCTCATTGTGGACCGCGATTCGCACGGAAACGCACCTTGGTCGGTTCGGTCACTGGGACCGTAGCTGGTGAAGCAGAAAGATATAGGGTGTTATTCGTCGCAAAAGCATGCACTCCAAGACCACTTTTTAGTCCGCTTGCTTTCAACAAGTGCAGATAGCATTCAAAGAACCCAAGAAGTCTAGGGCATCCAAAAACTCTACCACTGTGCCTCCCCAGTCACACCGAGAGTATCAAAATAACGCCCATAATCAGTCATTAACCGCCGTGATAAGTGTTCCCTACCATGACCCGGTGACTTTAGGGGCGGTTTTGGCCAACGTCCCATGGTCCCGAATTCGATGCCCGCTGTCTGCATCTGATGAGCTATTTTAGAGTTAATAATAATCTAATAGGTGCTAAATTTAGCGAGTCTAGCATGAGTTGATTACAGTTTTACCATGTAGTATTCCAGCCCAAATACACTATCCGTTTTCCTCAAAAATGCTTGTGCTTTCCTGCTTCGTTCAGGATTGAAAATCGATCCGGCTCGTTGGCAAACTTGTGTGACCGAGACACAAGCAACTTTTGGAATGGTCATTGGACGAATTTTTGTCAATCAAAAATTTGATCAGAAAAGCAAAGAGGCCGTAAGTTTGATTGTTTTACCGCTTTTTGGTGGTGGCCTGCAGTCGAACTTTCCTATCACTTTTCTAGTAGACTTGAGAAGATCGTTACTTTTTTAAACAAAGACCTAAACGAGCCTGAAGCTCAAATTGTATGGCACCTAAGTGTCAACCAGTCGAGTTACGCTTTATTGGTTTGCGGAGAGTTACCCCAGTCCGCAATTGCCTCCGCTCACTATCTAGCTGTCCATACGTCGTGATTCCATGTTTTTCATCCCACGCAAAGGCGCCGGACCGTAAGCAGTTCTTCTAGTTGAATTTACAGGCTTCATGCATGATGAATGAGGATCAAATTTCTACGATCCAGATAGGCCGTATGCAGTTGCAAATGATACGACTCCCCTGAGCTTTGGATTTGAACAGAACAGTGCAAAATACGATTCATGGTGGATTAGGCATAGAAGCTTCGACGGTGCCTGGTTAGTGAGGCCGAGCTGAAGAGCTTCGGCTAAGTAGCAAGCTAGGAACACGTACAAAGTAGTATCTTCAAGGAGGAATACGGTGCCTTGAACTATGCAGAAGCGCTGCCTCTTTAAAGTAAATGCTGGGAATGAGCAACCCGGGATAACTGGATAGGAATCAGTAGTATCCGACCGCATCAATAATGTCGTTATCAAGTTGTTGTGAAACTCTAAGACATCTTGGTGTTCTTCGGGATAAGCATGCACCGAAGCTACCCCGAGTAAAGAATCGACGGTGAACATAGAGAAGAAATCCGCCTGCAATCTATGTTGCTGCTTGGTGCCGTAATCAGCGAGTGGCACTTATTTTAGAAATTCCAAGATTTCATGGATGGGCGACAAAAGTACACATGGTTTAGAAGGTTATCCTCTATCTGCGTTTGTGTCTATAGTCCATGAATCGTGGTCACTTTCGCTCACAGACTTCAGTTAGCGACTGTTGTGCTACAACTGCTGACTAACATAAATGGCGTCGATGCCTCTATTTTCCGACAGATAGTATGTCCGCTTCCTTGCGGAATGCGTAATTCAAGCCTGACAGCCTTGGCTAAAATACTACCTTAATGCACTGGACTAGTTTCAACGTCGGGTTTCCAGATGTGTCCTTGGAAGGCGAATTCCTCAAACAAGCGGCTAAGACGCTTGGGAGTATTCAGCTGACGGTATCGCTGAATACGATGCAACTTGACAATGGCATACTTCATCTTACATTAATCGAATCATATGTGCCGCTCTTTACTACAACTCAGCAGTAACACAAACTCACGAGATCACGCCTTGAAACTAGTGGAACAATACAGCCGTCTAAAGTGCTGCAGGAACTTCATTTCTATGCGCCTACGTCACTCGTAGAACGCACTCGCTGAATCAGTTGTTTCTACATCGATACTATGTGTATTTAACGTCGTTCGAATGAAGCGCTCAAGCAATTAACACTTGTTGATTAATCTTGTCTCTCTGTTCTACTCGTGAGAAATACCTTGGCGTTAGTATTTGCCACCTAATAACACGGTGAAACTACCCGAAGTGCGGCAGTACTGCATTGAATAACATGAGTTCTTCCTTTGATAGTACAAGGATTAAATTCCCTAGACCACACAATGGGGTTTGTAAAGCACTACACCCTAATACGTCTAAAGTGGTTATGCATTTGTCATCATCAAAAATCCTTCATGTTATGCATCACACAACAGCTACCTAACAAATTCCAATGGAATGCAGGGGAACACTAGCGCTAAGATTCGTGCGGAGGTAAACTCTTCAAACTAACTAGTCAACCCACTAATATCGAATGTTGGAGAGTAAAGTTGGCTCTGTAACATTCGCTCTCTCCGTGCTGCTGCCTTGAACAAAACGTAGGTAACTTGTCACCTTCCTTTATCACGGCACTTGTGTGATTTAGGTCGGTATGCGTGTTGTCAATTGTATGGGTACATCATCAAGGGTCCACACGGCAACAGTGCATCATTCCAAAATATACATTAGAGTTACTAAAATTATGATTTAATTTTAACGCACGCCATAGAAACCAAAATACATGCAGTGTGTTCAGTAATCAAACTAAAGTGTGTTTACTGATAATTTTAGCTACGTCGGTTTGAAGAACGAGCAGTGTAGGCATGTTGGAATTGGTCTGGAAACAACATTGACTGATGTGTTTGTTTGATCTGGTGGTTGGCAGGAATTGTGGAGGAAAAGCTGTGTCAAATTTGTATCTTATCATTTAAGACGTGCATGGTGGGTATTCTTGGAAAGAAAGCATCGATAGGTAATTTGAAAAATACCTACGCGATTAAGATACTATCAGCATTTACATGCAACCGTCTAGATGAGCATTTACAATCAGAGGTTTGAAGGGAAAAAGCTGGATATCAATGGAGTAGCGTTGAGATGCTACGTTTAAACTGCAGTTTTTCGACTATGACCAGCACGTCATCAGTTGGTATACTGAACGGTGCATCAACACCCTTTTAAATAGTAGCAAATATATACTTAGAGCCACGGCCATGTATGGTTATGCTCGGAGTAAATTCGCGAGCTTATCCGGTCATACGAATTACATAAACAATTCGCTTAGTTGAGAAAATGTTATAGGATTCATCGCAGCAGCAAACAAGCCCGATGGGCTTGCTACCTATCTGATACAGCACCAGGCGACCGCTTCGTCCTACTGTGTACGTATCCCAAGGCAAGCACAGGACCGGGAAATTCCGCATATACTTTTATTACTCATAAGTAGTAAAATTACACCTTAGCAACTTACAACTTTTGCATTTATTACGGCTGGTTTGTGAAGTTGTGGCCCCGTAGGGGCCAGCCACTGTCCTTCCCAAGGATAGTAACATACAGCTCAGTGAGACATGAGTGGCTATTCATCTCAGTTATCTAGTGGGTCATAATGATTTTCTACGGCCCCCCTTGGTTTATTGGCATTAGCTGTTGCCTAGGGGCGAAGGCCGCTAATGGTCATAGGTTCAGTACATGACGGAGCAGGGGATGAACCCACTGACAAGCCGCCACAAGGCGAAACTGTCATCTGGTGTTTTCCCAGGTGAGTGGGTACGGTAGCCATATTTCAAACTACCGTACAACCTGTTATGGCAGCCACCTGTCTAAAGCAATCACCAGTGTATGGCGACCAGCCAAAAACAACCCCAACGATTTTACTGGTTCCTCTTTGGGCTTAACCTGTGTATGGCGTTCACCAGTCTAATGCTACTACGACCAGGCTTTAGTGATCACCAGGTTTTATATAAACTGTAGAAGGAGGTCACCACGCCACAATTTCAGCTACGTGCCCAAGTGTGTTGACCGCACCAGCTGCGCTCACACAAGTGTTCCAAAACTATATGGTCACCGAGACAGTCGGCGATGCCAGTTTAACAATCTGAGCGCCGTTCCCACCACCCCCAATGCTATGCCACTGTTGTCTAAGGTGAACACTCAAGGGACCAACAAAATGTGATCCCATTGGACTGGTGATAGTCTTGGCCAGGTTCCTGCATAGGGACATTACTCATAGAAGAAAAGGTTGAGCATGGTTTTGGCTGGTCGTCTTAGCAGGTTGGACTGTACCAGTCGTTGCGTGTAGATGGTTGTCCTATAGGTCCGATTTATCCACAAAAGTACACGTTGTTGACAAATCCCGAATCCTATGGGGAACCTGCGCCCTTACTCGGATAGTCTTATCAAATTCACAGACTTCAAACATTCCTTAAAACATTGGAGACGCGATCGAACGCAGTGCAAAGAGCAGCAATGCATTCACAAACACAAGTAACACACCTACATACCTACCTGAAGACATATAGATCCACATATATGAAAATCCTATTATACCATTGCACATTAGTTGATCAATTGTTGTACTATTACTATGATCGTGCCTTTTAAGGCGTGCCTCGCGTAGCTGAGAATGAAAATTTTCTGTATTTATTTATTGTTTAGCCAAGCGAGTATTCGTCTCGCATGAAGTATAGAAGATAAATGGAAACTACAATATTCTGTGTTCATTTCAAGCGGAACAGCTTATGTTTGAAGAGTCTGAGAAAGTACAAAATGGCTAATTCCAAAATTGCAAAGGTCCGTAGTAACATTAGAAGAAAAGATATCAGTGAATCGCCAAAGCCAAAAAAGTTCGCGAAAATTGGCTGAACTTTTTGGAGTAGGAAAAACACATATCCTTCAAACTTTAATAAGGAAAAGCAAGTCTTTAAACGACTATGAAAACAACGCGTCAAGACTTAAAAAAGAAAACAGCAGAAAAGCGCGAATTGAAGATAGAAACATACTTTGTTGAATATGGTGCCAGTCTGCGCTAGCAAGACAACACCCACTATCTGGATGAATTATTCAAGAACGTGCTTTGCACTTTGCAAAAGATTTTACGGCATCAAACGGTTGGCTTCATGTATTCATGAATAGGCACAACCTTGTGTTTGGTAATTTATCTGGCGAGAGCGATGACAGATATTGGTGCTGCATCAGACTGGACAGAAAAATTACCCGAAATATGTTCTGGTTACGCAGCTCAAGGCATGTATACTTAGGATGAAACTGGCCTGTTAATCAAAGCTACGTGTGAAAACATCTTTTCGTCAGACAAGAAAAATGTGCAGGTGGAAAAATAAGCAAGGAACAAGCACATTTATGTTGTGTACTAACATGCTGAGGGTGCGGGAACTGGCCAATCTATGAATTTTTAAAGACATCAACGTGAAAAATATGCCGGCAATGTACAAGGATGTAAAATGCATGGAAGACTGCAGTTAGTTCTGAAAAATGGCTTAGAAGGTTTGCCTAAAAGAGGTAACACAAAAGTGCAACATCATTTTGTTCCTTGACATTATCACTTGCCATCCCAGAATTCAGCTATAAAATGTCAAACTACAGTTCCGACCACCCAACACCACTGGGATAGTTCAACCCCTCGATCAAGGTGTCATACAAGTATTTAAATTAAAGTTTAAGAAAAGACAGCTTCTAAATATTAGTACCATTGTG